AATATAGATAAAACCACTAAAAAAGATAAAATCATATGTCATTATATATATATACCTATAAGATAAAAAAAATAAAAATAGAATAGCAATTGATATCTATTAAAATTTATAAGTTTGATATAATCATTGGAATACAAAAGATATTGATAAGACTAAAGTATCCTCAATCTTGCTTCTAGATATATAAGCTACTGAAAAGGCATGGTGAAAGTTTTATAATGACAACAAAGCTTCTGTGTAAAGTGTCTAAGTTGTAAGTTGCTTTCAAATCTACAAATCTTGAAAGACAAATTTCAATAGTCATGTGGCATATCTAAAAGAATTTAAAGATAAAATATATTGAATATTTTATAAAAATATACTTTTTACTTAAAATATTTATTTAAATGATACAAACATTTATTACAATTGCAATAGATTGTCTTAACTTTGTATTCAATTAAATGTAAATCCAATTTTTTTTTATGTAATAAATTAGTATTTTTATATTATTCAAAACTTATTTTTTATAACACATGATTTCTTTAATATTAAAATATTTATTTGATATAATTAATTTTAAAAAATTATTTATAATTAATATTATATTATAAATCCTCTATATTAATTATTAGTTGAAAATATTATTTAAAATATGAATATTTCTTTATTCTAATATATTTAATATCAAAGTAATAAAAAATAATTAAAATTAATAAAAATATTTTTCTTTGTAATTTTTTGAAGAGTTATTTTATTATATTATTTTAAAAATTTGCATCGTATTCTTTTAATATATATATATATATATATATATAATGATTTAAAAAATATCTAGATACATTAGTTAAAGTTAATAAATAAAGAAATAAATATAGAATTTTTGGCAACTTTTGAGATGATGTTTAGAAGTATGTTGTAGTGCCATAAAACTTATCTAATACATCAATCTTAATTTATTTTTTTATTAATTTTAAAATTTTTTACTTTTCATTTTGTAATCTAAATATTAAACTATTCACCAAGAAGTTTGGTGTCTATTTTATACGATCAGAATTATAAAAAAAAGGTTCTCAGAAATGTTATAATTACATATTTGCAATCAGTAGTGCAAGAAAAAATAATTCTTTAAAGATTTACAATAGATGTTTTTCTTTCGTAATCACTTTTATGAAAGATATATTTACTATATTATTAATCAGATGAAATATATTAAGTATAAAATATATCTCTTATATTTTAAACTTATATATTTTAGTTTTTAAGTATAATATTGGAATACAAAACAAACATATACATGCAAGTTTGTGTAAGTATGTATATATGTCTATATATATACTAATAGAATTAGTATATAGAAAAAGTTTGATAAGACTAAGGTAGATTTTTAAACATCAATCATTTTTAGTATATAGATATTCTACTTAAGTACAAAATAATCGAGTTATATTGGAATTATTATTTTTTAGATTGTATTTCTTTGTTTTAAGTTTTTTTAAATAAGATCTTTAAATTAATAAATAGGTTTTTAAATTAAAAAAATTGTAATATAAGGTGGATATTTTTGTCTTTGACTTACTTAAAAATAATTATTTTTAATTTTCAATTTGAATACTTAAAATTGTTCTGAATCTATTGATTTTTATTAATTATTTTTTTTTTATAATTATTTTTTTCATAAATACCTCGAGAGTTTGTAATAAAACTTGGAATAATAAGATAGTTAGTGATTCTCTACATACACATCTAATTTCAAAAATCATTGACATATTTGATTCAAAATATTTCAAAACATCATTCACAATTTGTATGCGCCAAAGACAAATTTATCACATCACATCCTTGAGTATCATCGTTTGTTCATTGTACCCATGGCATCAAAATAAGTGAGGTGAAGTGTCTTTGTCCATTTTGCAGAGTTGCATATGCAAAGGAGTTCATCCATTCCTTCTAAACTTAAATGTACATTTTCTAGGGTTCAAACATGCTTCCAAACTGCGGATTGACCTTAAGATTGATTGATGCACATCTTGTTTTTTGTTTTGTTTTTGTTTGTTTCTTGCAAGGGAAACAAGAGAATGACTCAAATTCCTTCTGAAGATTAATTGAACAGATAATTCACCATCAATGTTCTATGCTATCATTGACAGTCTACTGACATAAAAACTTGTCAATAATCTTATTTGCTCTTTTGGCAATTTGGGTTATATATATATATATATATATATATGTGTGTGTGTGTGTGTGTGTGTACAATGTTCCAATGCCTATACTCTGTACATCCAAATCTTCAGTTGTAACCATTATGCAGCCCCCACCTTATATTTAGTCAGCCTTCAGGGTGTTGGACCTAATACCCAAATAGCAACAATTCCTTCAAAATAATACCCAATTCAGTCTTATTCCAGGCAACAAGAACCATCGTCCAAATCAATAATATGTGTAAAATAGATGACAAAATTGAGGTTTAAGGTGAGAGAATCTAGTGGTAGGGCTTGGTGAAGTGTGTGTGTGTGTGTGTGGATGAGTTGTGGGATGAGTTTGTGATGTGGAAGTATAGTTGTTATAGAAGAGAAAGTTGCAAAAGTGGAAGACACATGATCACATGAAAGATACTCACCATGCACCAACTTTTGAAAGAGAGTTGTCCCAAGATTTTGCAAATGATGCAAGTGCCAGCTCTTCCTTGTCACACTTGTATCCAATTTTGTAATATAATTTTGGGTGTGAGATGCACAGGTGTGGAAATTGAAAGTGATGGGATAATTTGAGTTGTTTTTGTTTCTTCCAATAAATAAGTATATATATATTTATCAATGAATGCTATAATGAATAATGAAAACTGTTTTTGTTTTATTTTATATTGAAACAAATAATAGTGGGATTTTGTGTTGGTTGCATGAAAAGCTGAATGGTGGCCAATCAAAGTATACTTTGATACATGTACACACACACACACTCACATATACACACACTAAATGATAACAACACTAGTGAAGTTCAACTGAGTGAGTCAAGTAAGTTGGGTACAGTGGGTTATGAGAATTTTATCATAAAAAAACAAAACCGGGTTCCATGTGAATGCAATGTCCTGAACCTTCATGAATTTATTGTATGTTTTCCACAGAAAAATCATACATATACAACTGAACATAACTGAAAGTTTTTGATTATAAATTAATTAATTAAAAAGGAAAAAAGGTAGCATGATTTGTCATATTTGGTACAATACAAAAGAGGAGGTAAAATACTTCATGTTACACCATATTCAGTGAAATAACAAAGACTTAGAAAAATTAAACTTTGCATAGGAATTGGTTGCTCAAGAAATGACTAAGCAGCACCACAACAACAAGCTTAGGAGTCTGTTTTATTCATTTATTTATTTATCTATTGATGTGTATATAAAATTTTCTTTACCTTTCCTTCTCAAAAGCAATGCCTCCAGCTGGCAACATTTGTATTACTTGCACATACAAGTTTGGTTTTGTTTTTGTTACTTAAAAAATGTTAGGGTTTGCTGCTCTGACACCCCATGTAGGTGATGGCCAAACATTGTGCCAACTCTTTTCCATTTCACAGTTGGTGTTGACTTCATGGGCAACAAGGAGTGAGGTTTATGACAATAGCTGGTGATGGGACCAGTACAGAGCCCCACTCAACTGCAAACCACGTGGGAAACTGAAAGGCCCAGCCCTCCACTCACAGCACTTTAAAAAAAAAAAAAACAAAACAAAACAAAACGAAAATGAAAAGAGAAGAAACAAACAAATAAACACATAGATAAAATTTGTCTCCTTGTTACCAGGTTTGTATTCCCTTCCCTTCCATTCCCTGATTCTGAAAGTGGCTGTTACCCATATCAAACCCAACAGGTACAATAACAACAACAGCTGAGAAGACAAATGAATAAACATCTGCCATCAGTCTCCACAATTCTCTGGTTCCCTCCCTAACAACCAGTTTAACTCTGAACACAATTATAACTAGCCCCCCAAAATTGTGCTGGCAGAATGAAATAGAAAACAGTATAATAATAAACAGAAGAAGAAGAGCATGAGTCAGAGTTCATGCAACTTTGAGGTGAGGTTTTTATCAACCCATACCAACAACTTTAGGCCCATGTGTAGAAAGAGGAGGATGGGGAGGGAGTTGAGCCTTTTTATTGTGGGATTCTAATGTAGCATGTGGTGCAGACAGTGGATGGTGGAGCAGTCCCTTCTGGAGCTCCTGATCTGGAGTTTCCTGCCACACCTTGATTTTACCCTCCTTTTCTCTCTCTCTACCTCTCTTTTTTAATTTTTAAAATTTATTTATTTATTTTTTTCTTCTCTTTCTTACCCTCCCCAGCTCAGCTTCAATGACTCCATGACCACCATTATGCTGACACTACCTCAATGGAGGCAGCTGGTGTATAAGTGCTGAGGTGGATAGTTCACAGACCAGTTAACAGAGCCAAATTAATACACTCTTGGTGAAGTCAGTAGATGTCAATGCTTATGGATTTTATCAATATCATGATCTCTTGAGGACAAGTTAGCTCTGACTGCTGGTTTTTTGCAGAGATTGCTGCCACAGAAAACCAAGATTTTTCCTCATGAGGTGATGTGAAATCACATGATCAGCAGAGTAAGAAGGAGCATGCTTGCAGCTTCTTCTATAAAAGGATGAGATGAGATCAGCGGATTGAAAACCAAGTTGAAGGGAATAGAATAATGCTGCAGTATTAACTCTACTACCACAACAGTAATATGCTCCCCCAGAATCCAAGTGTGGCGTGATGGTCGTGGTGTTTAGAGGGGACAGGACCTCAACCAGGATTGTGGATTGTGGATTGTGGGGTGGAGTGAAGAGAGCGAAATGAATGCAGCGTCTTCGGGGATGCAGTCAGAGCACCAGACTCCTTCCAGTGCCGCGTTCGGTTCCACCAAACCGACCTGTGATGAACTTACTTGCCCACCAACTTTCCAGATCCTTTTGCTGGCCCTCTTTATTAGCCGAGGCTCGTACGCTTCCATGCCACTCCATCCATCATTCTGCTGCACTTTGGCCCTATTCGTGTACACGCTGCTGCGCGGTGATGAAGCCGTGTTCTTACAGAGCGGCTCTGCCTGAAAGGAAACGTCTGAAAGTCTAGGCTCTGACTGCACTGCATGGGTTTCGTGGAGGGATTAATGGTTAATGGTGATTAGAAGGAGAGCCTTAGCATAGTGTGACGAAATGTCTCCGTCCTCCTTCACTCCACTTGTGTATTATTGTTCCACTCCCTCCAGCCAGACAAGGCCCTGACTCAACCGGACTTTTGCTCTTTTCAGTTTGTTTGTTTAGCTGGGTTGATGCGAAGCCGCGGATGCGCGTGGATAGCTGGGTGTTGAAAATGTTGTAGTGTAGGTGTAACGCACCGTATGGGGCTGGACCTGTAGTTTAGATAAGCTCGAAGTAGCTGCAGCTGGCGCAGGTCAAGGTCCTTTTGAGGTGCAACCGATGTGTGAATGAGGAAGAGTAGAGCGATTCGCTTGTGAGAGAGAAAGTTGGCCGCACTCAGGCTGCATTGCTTCTTTCAGTGATAATTCACATGATAGCAATGGATATTTCGTGAGCGCTGAATGTTGCTAGATGCGCGCTGTCACGGTTCAGTAACCATTCAGTTACGAGATATGCTAGTGATATCGTTGTGACTTTCACCGAAGGTCGATAGCTATGACCCGCCATAGCGTACTGGCAACTTTTCTCTGCGCATTGGACTCGTAGCTCTTTGGCGTCAGGGGCAACTAATCTTCACTGCTAAGAACTGTTACATTGCTCAAGTTTCGGACCAACTCATTGGACAAAGCTGTAGGAGTTCGTCAAATATTGTCGACAGGTGAGTTCTTATTGTTTTCCTGTATGTTATATCATACAATGCAGCATTTCTCAGATATGACTAAGCATTGTGACGCTGACGGCTGTAAGAACATCTACTAGCTTACGAAGTGTCCTGTTCCATGCTTACTTTGGCTTATATGGTCTGTACTCCTTGACTGTGCATCGAACGACCTTCCTGCTGCGTCGCATTGCCAAAGACTCATCTTCGCCTGTTCGTTGTTTTGCAGCGAGTATATTTTCACTTGTACATCATTCAGCCATTGTCGTGACGATGGGTGTTGGAGCTGATCTATGTCCAGACATGTGTGGAAGGGCTCTGTGATGTACAAGTCACACATGAATACGCGGAAAGGAAGTCTGAAATGCGAAAGAAGATAGCATCGCCAAAAAGAGCTTTAGCCCGTCGTAACCTTCACTTTGCATCATAGATATTCAACATTACCACTGTCCTGGGATTAGAGTTGATGTTTGTAGGGACGTTACACACTGTCACTGCCATACACTCTGAGTTGATAACAACAGGGATGCATTTTCCAGAAAACAGGTCACAGAGTACCATCATTCTTCAATGACAGTCATTACAGTCTAGTCAATTTAAGTCTTCCCCGGTCGTGACAGTGAAATTAAAAGGCTCCGTCGCGGCAGGGGAGTATGTTTTGAGCTTTGATCAAAATTACAGACATTCCGCTGTCCCCTGGCACCATGGCCGACTTTGAGAGGAGGAGAGATGGGCCTCGCAGTAATCACGTGGTTTGTTGCTGCACCGGAACATGCACAGGAGTCAAGAGCAGCCGCTGCGGAGACAAGCCTTATGTTAAATCCTCCCAGGTGGCTACACTTCCTTCACAATCACCTTCTCCCGCCCGCAACAAGACCTACACTCTGGAGCTTTGCGACCTGTCCTACAAAATTGTGAATACGAAGAGAGAAACCAATGGTGCCAAGGGAGAGATGAGTGCCCCTTTCAACACGAAGGGGTCTAAGTACATTCTGAAGCATATTACTTTTGATGCCAGGCCTGGAGAGGTTATGGCGGTGGCAGGGCCCAGTGGTGCAGGGAAATCGACCCTGCTAGAGGTTTTGGCCGGGAAGATCCGGCCTAGCTCACCATCGACCAGCATTCTCGTTAATGGTCACCCCATGGATAGGCAGCACTTTCGCCGAATCAGTGGCTACGTCATGCAAGACGATGCACTCTTCCCCATGCTAACGGTCCGGGAGACGCTGATCTACTCTGCACGATTGCGGTTACCCTCGGTTGTTCCCATGACGGAGAAGGCGGCGCGCGTTGAGGCTCTGATGGCGGAGCTCGGGTTAAGCCATGTGGCAGGATCACGAATTGGGAACGAGAGCATCCGAGGGGTTTCAGGTGGAGAAAGGCGGCGCGTCTCAATCGGAGTAGATTTGATCCATGACCCTGCCGTGTTGATTTTGGACGAGCCGACGTCCGGGTTGGATTCTGCGGCCGCACTGCATGTGTGCAGCATGCTGAGAGCTATGGCCGTCTCTCGAAACCGCACCATTATTCTCAGTATCCATCAACCGGGGTACCGAATTTTGCAACTGTTTCATGCAGTGCTTATAATGGCGCAAGGGTCCGTAGTGCATCATGGTAGTCTAGATCTCCTCACGCAGCGGCTCAAAGCAGCGGGGCACAGCATCCCAGCACAGGTGAATGTCCTCGAATACGCCATCGACTCCATCGACGCGCTCGACCAAACCGATCGCAGCAGCATCTTTTCAGTCCGAGGGAAGACCGACCTCCCCATCCTGACCCTCCAGGAGCTGTTCGAGCTTGAGCCCAGCCGCCCTACAACGCCGATGACCACCAACAGCAACTCGACATCTCCAAGTCACGATGAAGGTACCGACAAGATTAACTTCGCAAACTCACGATGTAAGGAGATAGCCATCCTTTCCCACCGATTCCTGAAGAATGTGATCCGCACGAAGCAGCTCCTTACCGCGCGCACCATTCAGGCACTCGGTTGTGGGTGCGGTCTTGGTACAATCTACCTCCACATGGGCTTTGGCACTCCGGGTATGCAGAAACGGGTGGGATTCCTCGCCTTCACGCTCACATTTCTCCTCACATCCTCCATTGAAGTTCTTCCCATCTTCCTCGAAGAGCGCAACATCCTCACCAGGGAGACCTCTCGCGGCGCTTATCGGGTTTCTTCCTACGTCCTTTCCAGCACCCTCGTCTTCCTCCCCTTCCTCCTCTTCATCGCGCTTCTCTACGCAGGGCCTGTCTACTACCTCGTCGGATTAGCCCCTCAAGTGGACGCATTCCTCTTCTTCCTGCTCGTCATTTGGCTGATCCTAGTCACGGCGAACTCCTTTGTCTCCTTCTTCAGCGCCCTGGTGTCGAATTTTATCATGGGGAACACGATCGTTACGGGCGTCATGGGAGCATTCTTCTTGTTCTCCGGGTATTTCATTGCGAAGGATTACATGCCAAAGTACTGGCTCTTCGCGCATTACCTTTCGCTATTCAAGTATCCTCTCGACGCGCTTCTGATCAACGAGTATTCTCATGTGAGGGATAAGTGCTTCGGCCCGGTCTACGGCGGCAAGTGCTTCGTGACGGGCCAAAATGTTCTCGAAAACATGTTTCTAGACCGAGAGAATAAATGGATGGACGTGGGGATTATGGTAGGCTTTGCCGTGGTGTACCGAATTTTGAGCTTCGTTGCGCTGCATTACAGGCTGGTGAAGAGACGTAAGTGATTCACCACATGTGTCTAGACTGTGTACCAGGCAGCAGCCCATTTAATCGATTAGATTTCCACCAGATTATAAATTTGTTTGATCCCGGACGAGTTCCCCTCTGGAGACGCTCGTTGAACAGTCGGATCCGCAGTACATTCTGTAAGGAAGACGACCTTGTCTATTTTTTTTTTACCAAAGAAGAAATAAAACCCACAACATCACACGAAATGCCCCATTCACCATCTCTAGACGCCCATTTCGCATCGGAAAGTTATTGATATCTCCGCACATCGTAACTTGTGGACACTCGCTGGGGGATATGTTTGTTGAAGAAAATGGTCTTCGGGCTCATGCACCGTCGAATTCATGTCTAGATTCCGAATTTGTGTCTATATTTCCATGTTTCCATCACAGTTGCTTCCATTGCATTCAGGTGCCAGCGATGCAACAGTGGTGTATTAAATAATGCTGGGAGTATTCAATTTTCTCCGTATCTCTTCTCCGTTGATGACAGACGCACAACCAACTGACCATACGTCGTGTAATGATGGTCTGGTTATGGTGGTTAGTGCTTACCAAGTAGATGTTCATTCTATTTATTTTTTATTTCTTGTGGTTCTACAAACTAAATTTCTATTTGCATGTGCCTTAAGTCATTTTTGGTGGTATATCTAGAATCTATCCAAACTGTTTCTGGTGAAGTTAATATTTATCACATTGTGGTTCAATGTAGTTCATTTTTTTTTGCACAAAAAGTAATATATGTGTATTTGTAAGCACCCTCGTTTATAGTTTTAATATTTGTGTGTATTAATGCATTGGAGTGTATATTGGTGAAAGCCTTGAAATGGAGCATCTTGCAACATGGTTAATGCTGAAAGTGACCAAATGAAACAATTCAGAGGTACAAATGGCAAAGTGGTACTTCTGACCCATGTTCTTGTGTGTAAACATACTGCAATTGAAGAAAATGATATATCAACTATAACTGCTTTAATCCTGAAAGTTCGTTGTGTTATTCTGCCTTCCAAACTCCAAAACTGTCAAAAAAACACCCCTTCAAGAAAATGACTTCCAAATATTATCTTTAAGCATTTTCAACACTTTCAATTGTAAGATCTTGTTCCTGTTAGTCTACCCTACAGATTAGGGTCAATCTACCAAATCTTGGGTGCAAAGGTCATTGCATGTGAGAGATCATAACATTCAAAGTGGAGAGAAGAGTTTTTTTTGGTGTTACCCAAAATGTATAGTGGAGTTTGTACTAAACACAATTCCTTTTTGTAACTCAACTTTTTGGAGGAATTTTTTTCAAAGCTATCCTCAAGTTGAATATATGCATGCATAATCTTCGAGCAAGAAGGTGTGTATAGCATCTTCCACTAAATTGTTTTCAAGAAGTGGGTAGTTAAAAAAACTAGTTATAAAGAAATTGTTTAAAAAAATCATGACATTTTCAAAAAGTACTTTACTCAAAATATAGAGAATGGATAGAAGCTTTCTTACATAATTTTGAAGAAAAAAATAATATATATATATATATATATATACATACATACAAATATACCCAAATATTATAAACTAAATTATTATGGATTTTAGAAGGTCATATATGACCATTAGCTCTAAAATGTATTAGGCAACTCTATAATACATGATCTCCCTTGCCAACAAGGACATGTTGCCTTACAATACTATTGTCATATAAAATTGCCCACAATTTCAACCATCATGTGATTGGCACATCTCCTTATTCAAACTATCTCAATTGGAGTCCAAATCTAAAAAAACAGCATAACTAATTTCCAAAAAATATTTTTCTAAAAACATTAGTGGAGCATAATCTTCATAAGATTCTCTATTCTTGAATTAAAAAAAAAATTATAAAAATACCAAAATTTCATATTTCATATAGAATACCCAAAACGACCAAAAGCCATTTAGGTTTTCAAGGAGTTTTAAGCGTTAAGGTTGAGAAAAGGTGAAGATAAGGAAAGTATAAACAGTGTAAATAATAATCATAGAGGTGATGATTTTGCCATTGTGGCTAGGAGGAGGAATAGGATGAGTAATGTGTATAAATGGATTATTAATTAAGGAGCTGAATTATTTTTTTATTTTTTATTTTTATTTATTATTATTATTATTTTTCTTGAACATGCAATTGGCACACAAACAAGATATGAAAAGTTTGTAATTTATTATGTCAAATTTTATTTAGAACTTAGTCCTTTGTGACTCATTGATATTTTTATTTTAAAATAAATGCAAATATATATGCTCAAAGTCAAAAGTAAGTATTTAAGTAAATTCAAGAATTAAAAGTCATTTATGATCACAAGTAGAATTTTATTTTGCAAAAAAATTATGTATTGGTCTTTTGTTTTGTTTTGTTTTGTTTTGTTTTTTTTTTTTTTTTTTTAATCTCTCTTTTTAATAATAAATTGTGGTATTGTAAAGCAAAACTAGTAATTTGGCACTCCACAATAGAATAGAATGATAAAATTTATTAAGTTTGTTAAAGTAATAATTACAATGATTATATTGGAAGGAAAATGTCACCACTATGAGCAAGACTTTCTAGCATAGGACATTGTTCTATACATTCTATATTAAGTAATATAAGACAAAACTTCTATTAATAAAGGATGTCAAAAACATTAGTAGATAGTAGTCAATTTAAGCATAGTGAGTCAAAATAGAATAATAAAAAGTTCATTTTCTATCTTGGTGAAGCAAATGGAATTGTTTGGAATACAATTCCAATGAGAAATCTCTTACACTGCATTTGATGTTGTCTTATAAATGGTCTCAATATAGGACACAATTTTTGATTATTTCATAAACAATAGAGTGACTATGAGGATTGAAAGAAAGGAATAAATTGTGATAAATTCAAAAATATTGGTGTTTTGCAAATGCTCTATGTATAAATAATGTTAAAGAAAGTATGAAGTTGTCAAAATTATAAGATTCAAATTAATTACAACTACAAATATTTATGATAAATTTCAACTTAGCATGAATAGGGTAAGATATTTTGAGCTCACCTAATTGCAAGGTAAATGGAGGTAATACATTTTCATTACATGCTTTATAATAAGAATCTTCAACAACAGCACAACAAGGCTGAGAAGCATTCCACACAACAAAATTCAGCGTCCTGGCTTAATGCCTTCTTTCGATATCAAAAAGCCAATCGAACAAGAAAGGTGCATTTTTAAGTTCAGCACACTAACAACCAAATTAGGGTTTGACGTTTGAAATGTTTTTATACCAAAAATGTCTGGGAACCATACAAATTTCATTTGATTTTGAACAAGGAAATGCAAATGAGCTTCAACATGGAACCAAATCCAATCAAACAAGAGTATCAGGATCTGGGGTGTTTCCCTCTATTCCAGCCAAGAGCAACAACTTCATACCCATTTTCATTTCTAGTTCTCGTTGGGATAAGGATCGCAATCGCAGCTCCACAACGCCAACTAATGTACACATCAGTCTAACGTAACGTCAACCTCGTGTTCACATAGAAGGCATACAAAGAAACTCAAACTCTGATTCCTTGCTGCACATTCTCAATCATTTCGTTCCAGCAGATGCTAGTCTGCGACGAAAATGGTGGGCATCATCCCTAGCAAGACAAAAGTGAGAAATGAGAAAAAGAAACGAGAAGCTCTCAGAAATCTATATCTGGTCATGACCCAGAAAAGCTCGATTGCAGTCGCGTGAACAACTTGTATCCTCAACACAAAAAATTCCAGGACCTTGAGGCACAAGTCAAACCCTAAATTATTACAAAAACATTTCCTAGAATGTCTTTTGCTCGTATGGCAATGAGGAAGATGCAATCTGCTCAAATTAGGGCAACCATCTCAACGCTTTCAATTAATGCATCGAAACCGTTTGTGGAGATCGTGTAAAAACCCACCTTCGCATTAGCTCCTCTTGATGTTCTCCGCTTCATTAGTCAACCTCGAGAACTGCGCGATTTTCTATCAGCGCTACCACCACCATTAGTGGACTACTGTTCAGGTTGCGCAACGGGCTCCTCTGCCTCCGCTCTCGTGCTGTGTGTCCTCTTCTCAATGAGGCCTCCCAAATCCCCATACTTCTCCATATGCTTGCTGTATTGGTTCATGTGATGGGCGGACAGAGCCATACAGATGGCCACCGCAATTCCAGCTTGCAGCGGAGTGAGCAACTTCACAAGCTCAAACACCATCTCTTCTCAATCACTGCACCCCACCAATAGACCTCTCACCATTCAGCTCGCATTAGAATCCTCAAAACCAAAACCAACCCAACACTACAAATCACTCATCGGGCATTGTGACCCACGATCACTGAAGGAAACGACGGAGTGCCCTCGATCGAAAATGGCTCTTCTCGGGGAATGTCACCGCAAATTTGCTTCCGGGGGAATTCTCGTCTCCTCCGATACAACTTTTCCTTTTTAGTATTGGCTTTTACGTTTACGATTACTTTTTGTTTATTCGTATCTTTAGATTTAGCATTTTTAAGAAATCAATCCCAAAAACTGGGTTCTAATTGATGACGTTATCACTAACTGAGGATTTCTAGAAATGGCTTGATTATTTAAATTCTTATGCTCAGAGATTTTGTTACAACATTTACTACAGTATTCAGTGTGTTGCATTTTTATTTTCTCTTTTTATTCTATTTTTTGCTTTTCTCTGGACTAGTTGAGTATTTCTTGCAAATATTATAGTATTCTTAAACACTTCTAGTAAATACAAAGTACAATATACATCTAAATGTATGTTTTCAAAACCTGCAATCAAATTATTCGTAGGGAATTCATGATATTATTTATAAGTATATTTTACCTTGTGATATTTGATTATATTAGGTAATGCTATTATGTATATTTATATGTTTTTTAAATGAATATTAATTGGATTTTTCATATGTATATAAATGCAACACCCTTGAATTTATTTGTTATATTTTAATTAATCATTTTTACAAAGAACCATTGTCCATCCTTTCCTTTTAAGAATTTTAATGATTAGTGGCAAATATTTGCGCAATTAGGCAAGAAAAAGCTGTAAGGTGATATGTTGTACATATACATATAGTACATATCTTCTCATTAGCCAAAATCAAAGAAATCGTTAACCACCAAAAAGTCTTGCATAACTTGCTAAAAGACCTTCATTTTACATGTCAAAACTTTTGCAATTGGCACTTGAAAAACCATGTCTTTAATGCAACATCTCATGCAATTGTTTAGAAAATAAACCAAGACAACATTAAACTGATTAGTTGCAGGCTATTCAATACAATACACCATCAAAACATATTTTCCATGAACTCTCAATGGATAGAAGCATGTATTAAGCGTACAATATTTTTGGTCTATCATTACTTTTAGATAATTTGACTTTAAATCCTCCCTGAGGTTGACATAAAATATTACCAACTAATCCACCAGTCTGCAAAACATTTGCAAAAATAAATAACTCAGATGTTTATTATAACCTAATCACAATTGCAAAAAGATTGTAGAAACTAAAATGCTTCAACAACAATGATAAACAAAATTGAATGAGCAAGGCTCTTTGTATAAAGATAAAAGAGTTCTATCTAGTATTAACTAATTAAAACACCTCAAATACATCAGGCTTCATTTAGAAGGCAATCCACAATCGACAATAAATTGTGCATACATGAAATATTCTTCCATCTACCTCTTTCTAATCATGAAAACCACCATGACTTCAACATCAATCCAGATACACATGCAAATAGTAGAGTGTATACTACATCAACAAAAAAATGATACAATAATACATCTACAAAAATTATATTACTTTCAAATCAAATCTACATTGTGAAAACTATACCATGGTATCCTAAGGACCATGTGACAAAAAAAACAAACCTTAAAGTTCCTTAGACCTATGTGGATATTGTCTTGCCAATGCTTGTAGCACTTGCCTATTAATATTCAAACCTATTCATAAAATAGACTTCAAACATCAACTCCATTAATTGATGATGATAATGAGGTGCCTTTTCAAATCTAAATGTTGGAGGTGCTTGTTTTTGTACTTTGAATGCAAAATTTGCATATGTTGATTTAAATGCAAGTCTTTCATCTTTGTTGTACCATTAGTATTACAACTTTCTCCACTTTAGGTTTTTTGAGTTTTTTTCTCTTCACCTACTTTGTACTCTATGACCACCTTGACTAAATCCACATGAAATATGCCAAAGCACACATCATTGCGGACTTGTTGGCTACAACTCTAAAACCACATAATCAAATGTTATGAGTTAAGTATGTAGAGGTTTGAAGTCCTTGCAATGATCAACTTTGGTGAAGAAATTGTAGGAATTAAAACTCACTTGGAGGTTGATCATTGTACACACAAATTTGGGTTTGCAATCACATGAGAAGGAATTTGTTTAGGTGTAGTTTCATTGTTTCAAGCATTGCTTCCTTAACCATCACATTGCATTCTTGATATTTCACAAACTTGGTTATTTTCTTCAACTTCAATATTTTGTTCTTCAATATATGTTTCTGTCCGACCACATGAAGTAATTTGTAATCAATTTACAAAGAGCTAGTGCAGTGGATCACAAACTCATAACCTGCTAGTAATGAAACTATCAAAATACATGACATTTCCATCTCATTGAATCCAAATTTTCCAACTTCTAACAAAAAAATAATTGTTCATTTTCAAATCAATGCCTTTTTACAATCTTGTGGAGAAACTACAAAAATTACTCTTGAAAATGCAAAAAATGAAAAATACCTTATGACTCACTTTAGTTTAAGATTAATTCTGTGACGACCCTGTAAATTGCCAAGTTGAATTAGATTTTGATGAAAAGTATGATGATTGAGAAATTCAGCCAATCAGAAGGCCAGTTTGTCTCCCTATTTTATACCCCTTGATGTGTTTTATAATAGAGATGTTTAGACCAGAATTGGCAGATTTGTAGTTTAAGATGTGAAAAGAAACAATTAAAATTTATGAACCTCCAAAATAAGAAAATTAAAAATTAAAAAATGCAAAATATTGCATCAAAAACGCTAAACCAGAATTTTCCATGAGAAATAACATAAAAATCAAATGTCATCCTGTCCAGTTCCCAAACACAGAACACATGTGAAGCAAAAATGGATGAAACGAAGGATGGATTCCGTCAACATTCATCGTCGGGCAGACGGGAGGAGGGGCAGCCCGTGAAGAAAGGAACTGGATTGTGGAGGGGGGGAGCGTTGTCTCCGGCGTCGCGTGTGTAGAGGGCGGGAGGGAGGATGGTCAGCACTGTGTCGCTGCATGACGATGCTGCAGCAGTTGCAGTTGCTGCAACAATCTCAGGGCAATGGCTCGACACACCCTCGCGTCGAGGTTGTGGAACACCTCTCGCAAATTTCGCAAACTAGCACTGACTTCTAACAAGCTCTCTTCCTCTGTAGATGACACCTCTTCTTCGGCGTTGGGAGCTTCCACTTCCACGTCGTTTGAACCTCAAGCACCGCCATTCTTATGTGAACTCTCATATGGGCACATCATTGTGCCGGTAGGTTCGACTAGGAGGATATGGTCAGATGGTTCCAGAAGTTGGAATGGATTTCGCAACAGATTTGACGAGGGTGGATCGAAGGCGGTGGCACAGAACAGGGGAGGAGTCCTTCGACATGCTTCGACCGCAGCAACTGAGGATGCGAAGCCAGCGGAGGAGATAGCTGATGGAATCACTTTGACGGAAAATTGTGCCCGGGTATTTGCCATTTTTAGGGTTTCTCCTTGGTTGGGTTTTGCTGTTGGTGATTCGGAAGAAATTGAGGTTTAATGAAATTGGGGTTATCAGGTAGCGGTATTCATTATTTGACGTTGATAAATATCTATGATGGTTTTCGTACGCTAGCTATGGCAGAGATTAGTTGCGACAGGGGAACTATGACGATGCTTCTGAACCTTGGGTGAATTTTGATTCGTCGTTTTCAAATTGGTTTTCTGTCTTTACAGAGGATACATGAAATTAAGCTTGAAGATGGACCAGAAGGGGAGAACAAAATGCTGCGCTTGAGTGTAGAAGGGGGTGGATGCTCTGGGTTCCTCTACAATTTTGCTCTTGATGATATGATGAACAAAGATGATAGGTAATTTCTCCAGTTTTTCTTTTACTCGATTTGAAGGTATTATGTCGTTGTCGCGAATCCTTGCTGCCGTTTGAGCATATCTCAAGGTTTGTCTTATTAACGCCTGCTTTAATGCATTCAGTTCTGGAGAAGTTTTTGAATGGTGAGGTTGAGCATGACAAGAGTTCTCTCCTCGAATGCGGCAGAGTAGTATATATATATATATATATATATATATATATATATATATATATATAAGATAATTATGACAAGTTCGGATTATTACACCTGTTTCATAGAATGGGAGGCCCTTCCTTGATTACCAACTGGAAGCTGATGCGTGTAAGTCTGGATGGAGTTTCTTATCTCAGTTTGTTTGAACAGAGTGTTTGAAAGAGACGGAGCCAAGCTTGTAGTGGACGATATTTCATATGGCTTCATTAAAGGCGCCACTGTTGACTTTACCGAAGAATTAATCCGAGCTTCTTTTGCTGTGAGGCATCGAAATCCTTTTGTAATAGAAAAAATTATGTTCTTGCTTCGTACATCCTGGAAATCTTAAATCAGAAAATTGCTAAGTAATCAATTTTGGATTACACCTTTGACATCAAACGATCTCTGGTTGCTTTCACCTTGAGTCTTATATTTTTACTAAACAAGCAATTAATCTTGTTGTGGCAGGTAACGATCAATCCAAATGCAGCCTCTGCATGTGGATGTGGGGCTTCATTCAATGCAAAGTGAAAATTAGGTCATCTTGTAACGAAGATTCCTTTAATGGTGTATTTTATATTTTGTTTGTGGGACTGTCGACGAGTCGCTGAATTGAGTGCCTCCAAATTCACCGAATCGCTTAGCCTGAAAATAAGAAAAAAAGCACGCACTGTTACCTCAATTTAATTCTAGTCTCAACCTACTCTTCTATTTCCAGGCAACATTCACGGCATGAAGTATGGTGTAGTATTAGCTTTGTGGGTAGTACAGTTTTGAAGTGCAGTAAGACACGAATCACGGATGTGTGTAATGATTTAGCTAACTATTCAAGGTACAGGCTACCAAGAGCTATCAAACTCTTCAATTAAGCTCCTTGTGTTTTATTTTGTATACTGCACATTGGATTTGATTACAGTTTTATCTTTAACTTAGTTAGGTGCCATTTATTGAGGTTAGCTTTCTCTGTATGTTAAATGTTGCTTTCCATGCTCAATGTATATATGAGGTTTGATTTCTCTACATGCTCTACGTATCCTCTTCACACCTTCCTATTCTTTCCAGTTCGCCTTCTACACTGTCCAGCAGTGGATACCCTTCTGGCCTGTTGTTACCCCTGATTTTTGTTTACTCCTTTTCTTCCAAAATTTTAAGTGTTTTGTAGTTCTAGTCGATCAACACCCACTGCGAAGTCCTACTCTGGAAGTCATTGTCTTTTCAAGGTCTCGCAAAAAAGAAAATTATACCATTTTGAAGATTTAATGGATAGAAGCACAAGCACAAATTAATGAATTTCTCCTTATTTGTTTAGTTTGCCTATTACGCCTTGACTTAACATTCACTGCACCAAATGTAAAGCGATGAACTGTTTCTCAAGCTGCACAACATTGATCCTTACCGAAATTCTCATTGCGAATTTGAGAAAGACCTACCAATCTCAATTCTTTTGGAGGAAACCAGAAGACAGCAGCCAAAAACAGTGGTCAGAGTCATCTGATAATACAAAAAGTTCAAAGTGAAACTGCGATCACTCTTCCCATATCAGACAAGACAGTTTAAGGATCCCGAGGGGGTTGTTTCCAAGAGTGAGGGTGAAATCTCGTCTTCGATATCCAGGCTGTGGATGAAAAGGTTGGAGGCGGCCTCACCGATGTGCGACTCATCTGAACTTGGGAGTGAGTCTTCCAGTGAAATTCCCATGTAGGGATCTTCATCAGGTGAGTAGAAAATCTCTTGCGGTACAATTGCCGTGTTAGCTTCCTCCAGCTGTGACTTGGCTGCAACTGCCTCTGGCTCAATGACAACCCCCAACTCACGCCGGGGCCGTGCTAACTGTTCCTCTAACATTCTCTGCAGCTGAAGGTGCTGATGCTCGATTCGAACCTGGAGCTCTCGTTGAGACTCAAGCTCTTGACGCAGAAGCTTCTGCACCTCCGCATGTCTCTCCATCTGTGCTTGTACCACTGGATCCAGGCGGAAACACTCACGTGGTCGCCTCCGCATTGAGTCTGCCAGCAACGTGAATCGAATTTAGGAATGCATCACTGTCAGTGTGTGATCCAAGGCCACAAATTCTTGTTCTTAACATGCGGAGACTGGTTCCGCCTGCTCGAAAACAGGTATAACCATACTTGACAATGAAAGAAAGAAAAAGATACTGGCTCTGAACATGAATATGTGGAGTTTTTTGCATTCTACCACTACAAACGTAACCCACAGCATTATATAGGAGGCATCAAAACAGCCATATCTGAAAATCACTTCGTGTTACAACCTTCATGAGGTACAACAACCCCCAAATTTTCATACCTGCGGTAGAGGCCTCCGACTGTAACCTGAACTTCTGAAGATGACTTTTGACATGATAAATCGTGATGCCAGGACATCCCATTGCAAGAAGCACTGATTTCGGCGTTGCACCTGAAAGTTGAATCAGGTAACATACAATCAGTTCATAGAAACACGCCACACATCCATGATTATGAGTCTTGACAATATATCACAGCAATGAAATTCATTGACTTTTGTTACTTTTAAGTTGGACATCACAAACAACCGACTGCTGCAGATACAAATCGAACAGTATCGTAGGCAGGAAATAAGTGCCACTTACGATCAGGACCACCACATTCTGCAACGGCCGCCACAAACCGATCATGGAGGGCGTCAGTCCACCTAAGGCGCGTCCTCGCAGCATGGGCTGCTAAGAAATTGTAAATAGCTGAGTCATCATCAGAAGGCTGGGATGGACTCTCTTGTGACACTGCCGCTCCTGATGCCATTACGAGCTAGGTTCAAATAATAAGTTCATTCTTGGTAACGCAACAGGTGCAACTGAACGACGGTGGACGTATGGCATTAACTCATCGGCAAACCAGTCTTTCACAATTATCTTTCCAATTACATACAGAATGTAGAAACCTATCATGGCAATATTGCCGTACTGTCAATCAGACAAGGCATACAGGTGACGTAATCTTATCAAACATATACCTGATATCTGATTGAGCTGGGGGGATGCCACGAGCTGGGGCACGGAAGCCGCGGACGTTGAGACGCTGAGCTGTTTGGGCTGTAATCGAACACACAACGGCAGAAACTATGGCTTTAAAGTAAGGTTCAGATAAAAACAAGGAGCAAGTTGTGAAGACATTGAGCATCGCTGTCGGAAGCATGCACGTCAGTATTGAAGGGACATAAGCCATCTAATGACCTCAGTCTTTCACTGACTAGCACAATCTCCGTGCGTATGTGTGCTGTTTTGTCATTATGAATGCCATGAATGACGAGCACGCGACTAGTCTCTGAATAACCGTCACCGAGATTCTTCGTCTAGATTCAATGAGCTTGGAAATGGTTCAAGGAAATAGGCATGAGATCCGGTAAGTGTCTTACCGCAACTGAATCAGACTGCATTGTGAACTCAGCACTAGCGTCAACGGGATTAGGAGTTCCGTAGTCAATAAGATCGGGCCATGAGAATGGAACCTCCGAGTCGGTCGGCGAGTTGCTGCCAGTCATTTGCCCCCGATCGCTCCATTTCGACGCAAACCGCGTCTGCATTATCAGGACACGCTTGAGAAAATACCAACACTACAACCTTCCCAACTGTTAGCATTTTCTTTCGATGCGATCGAAGTCAGATTCAACGAGCACGCTATTAACATATCGATTAACCAACAGTTCAGCCACAATTGAATTCATCAATGTGGTCGTAGCGTTCTCGCCTGCGAAGAATTGCTTTCGTTTGGTGTAGCTTTAGTAGGCGTGCAAGTAGCCGATGGTGGTGGTGGTGGAATTCCATCCAAAGTCGCTGCAGGCTGCAGTCGGAATGGAATCGTGGGTCTGACATCTAAATTGGGCTGCACATACAGAAAGGGCCAAGGGAGGTCTGTGCAGCGGGGGACTGCTCCAAAAAGATTTCGTTGGGCTTCAAGGCTTGCAGGAGGTCGATTGGAACCACGGGACCTCAGGGTTGGCATTGGTCGAATTACCCGGGACGACCGACGTCTGAATGGTGTGATGGGTACAATAGGTGTTGGTGCTGATGATTGCCGTGGCACGGCGTGACCCTCCAATAGGTCGGCAGAATTCCAGGGCCTTGGCGCACGTGTGGTTGGAGTTGTGCGAGTTGGTTGCCACTGCTCCAAGGGGGAGACTTGGTGCTCTTGCACCTGTCCAGCATCCTCAATGGGTTGCCAGCGATACTGAGGTGGTAAGAAGTGGCTGTTATGGGTTGTGCCAAACGGTGTCTGTTGATGGCATGCGGTGAAGCCTTGCGTTGGGGAGATGTAATTCAATGGTTCGTCGACCCTTGGCGGAATTGAATCTTGCTCCTGCTGGTTGCCGATGAGATTATGATTCGCAAAGCCGGTTACGACACTCTGGAGTTCGTAGCCTACCTCTATGTGCGTGCGGGGAAGTGCAACTTCCCCACGGGTTTCTCCTGCCTCATGGCCAAGCGCGTCACCCATGCTGGAGTTCGTCCTTGAAATTAGCAAGATTTGCGCAGTGATGAAATCTGAATCGTGATAAGGAGTGACACTACCGGCTTTGAGTAAAAGGGGGTGCCCGCTAAAATGCTATGATACTCATCTGACGAGAAAAGCTCAAGCTATCTGGTGCGCGCTAAAGGGAGTCGCAGACGCGATGTACACTAGCTTTTCTCATTTGCTTGACGAGATCTGATGGCACGGTACACCTCACGTTCCAAGTGAGCATTCTCCTCTGAGTAGTTCATAAAACACCCTAAGTTCAGCTGTGGCACTCCAGTTACGTTGAAACCACAACAACTTCACTTAATTTATGGCCCTCGTCAACAGAACAAATGAGGACGCAGCACACAGTGTAAACCACGATCGCAACTGTGCCGGACTCCAACGAAAGAAACTATCCCCTAAACTCTTCAAGTAATCAACGCGCGAAAAACACGCTGTAATGTAAGCTTCTAATACTGTATAGATCTCATATAGCGGTATCTTTAAAAATTCGATCACAATGAGCACTGTCTCTAAAAAAGCAGAGGTTTTTTTCGGTGTAGGTAGGTCGATCGGCACTCAGTCTCTCCGCTGCGCTTGGAAACTCACACTCCCAAATTCAAGTCTCGTTGGTTCCCAACTCGCTACGGTATCACCACAAGAATACACTAAAACTGCACTAGCCCTGGATAATTAATGCATGAATTGTAACCTTGGCTCTATGACTCTCTCACCCTGGATGCAGCTTTGGCTGAGCGCGCAAGACAGTAATCAAGGCTCTGTCCAGAACACAAACACACCACTCCATTTGTATTGCTGTCGGCTGACTACCAGTGACCCGGCGTGGCACAGGCTACCTGATGTCTATGCTATACCATCCATCCAAGGCACCGATTATTTTGGAGCTTGACTTCTCTAACATGGTCATCACTGCCGTCATTGTCATAATCGTGGGGAATGATCCTCCACCTTCACAAATCCTCATCACAAGATCAGGGGTGGCACTGCGTCTGAAACACGCATTTGTTTGTACGCACAGTTCAGTTGTGCAACACCAGAAACACAACTGGAAGAAGTTTGACACACTCGTCGATACAAGCGTTCATTCTCGATCTTTATTTTTGTTTTTTCCAAAACTCATGATGCAGAGAAATCGTGCATTGGTTTCCTTTGAGATTCGATCGACAGCACTGTCTCATAAAACATCTAGCCGCTTGTCAGAATGTAATGGCACTCGTTTTCCCGCTCTGAAGCTCAGGTTTTCACGCTGACAGCCATCGCCTTAGCCTGCCGGAGTACATCTCCAGCCCATATAGACAATCATGCCGACAAACGCTACCCAATACTGATCTAACAACCCCAATACCTCATTAAGTTTCTTTGGTTTTAGATTTCTGTACTTATGTTTCTCATTGCCATGGGGGTAAAAATCAAACCCCTGCATGATTCATTTTCTTCAACATCCCTGTACAGCCTTTCCATCATCAAGGTTTCCACACAAGAGCATGTTTCCATGCGCGGTAGGAAGCACTGCATCCATTATCCACCACCGACACGCCAGGAACCGCAAGGGGCTTCTCGGGGCCCGAGTCTCGAAGACCATGGGTTGTCTCAGTTTCTGGCATCAGCAAGAGCACCACAAACAAAACCAGGCTGGGTTTGCAGCACCTGAGGCCCACAGGGTGGCAGGGGTAGGGGGAGGGGCCTTGTAGGCCAAGCTAGGAATCAGGTCCGGACGATTCTGAGAGTGAGAACGCGAGCGTGCCTCATCATGTCAACCTTCACCCCACCACTGGAATCCGAAACTTGTAGTTTTTTACAAAAGCCCCATACACCTCCACTCTCCCCCACCCTTCGCTTGCAGTAAACAAAAAGAATCTCGTTAAATCCCACTGTTGCCTTTCCAGCTACGTAATTCCACCCCCCACCTTCAGATCCAAAGTAAACTTCCGCTTCCAACGCTGCCGAAATCTGTCACTCACAAGCGGTAACCAGGTTGCTCTCGTTACTGCACCATGATAAAGATTAAACCAGTAACGGCAGCAATAACTAAGTGTTTTTAATTGTGTGGGGTTTGTCAAACGTGCAAGAAAAGATCGACGTCAGATATCAGAGCCCAGAATGTATCTCTTTGGTGAACACTACACAATACCGTTATATCTTTCACAGGCAGAAGAATGTTCACGCTTTTTTCTATTGCACTTTGTATCCTGGAGCTTGTCTTGTTTATGTCTTCACTTTTCATCTTTGCTACATGCTTTCAATTACTTTTACGCTGTTTTACTAGTGTTTGGGTATTGCGCTTTTATTCACCAAAACTAACTCGCTCATGCGCAGCCCATCGTTCGTGATATTTGCTCATTTGTATGTAGCCTCTCATTTATGCACAGAAGAAAACTGAGAATGTGTGCATGAGTTTCATTAGTTTAATTTCTGGTGAGTTTTTGTGTTTATTTTCTAGAATGATTGTGTCATTTGTGTGGGACTGCTTTTTTTTTTTTCTTCTAATAAAGGTGGGGGTTGTGAAGGATTGTGAATTTGTTGTGGAACAGTTAATGAACTTAGAAGAGTTATGCGTGTTGTGAGATTTACAAATGTGTTGTGTTGTTTTGGTAATTTGGTTTAAAATAGACTAAATCACAATCAATTTTTTTGAATGACAAGGATGCTTCTTTAAGAAATGCATGTTATATTTTTAAGACTATTTTGAATTACTACGTGAAATGATTGGTGAGACCCATCACCATGCCAACTAGCAAATTTGTGCATTTTAAAGTTTAAAGACCATAGAAAGAAGAAAATTTTATTATTGTAATGCTTTCTTGGACTTAATAAATATTGTATACATATCTATATTTTGGTTTGTCCAATTTCAATAAAAAGAATAAAAAGAATAATCCACTTTTGTGAACCACTATCAAGTTTTATTATTTTCTGTTGGTATTTGTTCATAAGAATAAATAGGCAGCTTATTTTTTTTAATATAGATACATATTTTTACATACATAACATAATTCTTTTGGGAATTGCAGACATTCAAAGATATATTTTTGAAAATAAGTGTAACATAATTATAAGATTTATTTATACTCAAAATTTTAATTTGAGAAGGATCTAAATATATTTCAACATAAGAATTTATATGTTTCTTTCATTTTTATGTATGTAATTATGTGTAAAATATATATATATATATATATATATATATATACATACACATATACATATAAACAATATTGAAATTAAATATAGCTTAATTTAGAAAAAATACGATACTTATGTTGACTTCAGCCATAATTATGAACTGAAAAAAAATATTATTAAATCTTAATTTTAAATATATGAAAATAAATAGAAATAATCTATTTGCAATGCAGTAGCTTATTTTTATTTCAACATAAAACTCTATATAGGAAAGTGCAATG